AACTTCCTTCAAAGTGGTGTTTATTTGGCCAGGCACAGTGGCTCACGCCTGTACTCCCAGCACTTTGGGAGGCTGAGGTAGGAGGATCACTTGAGGCCAGGAGTTTGAGACCAGTCTGACCAACATGGTGAAACGCTGTTTCTACTAAAAATATAAAAATTAGCCAGGCATGGTGGTGTGTGCCTGTAATCCCAGCTACTCAGGAGGCTGAGGCAGGGAGAATTGCTTGAACCCAGGGGGCAGAGTTTGCAGTGGGCTGAGATTGTGCCACGGCAACCCAGCCTAGGCGATAGAGTGAGACTCTGTTTAAAAAAAAAAAAGAAAGAAAGAAAAGAAAAGAAAAGAAGTGTTTACTTGCTTTCCATCTTGCCTGCATTTTGTTCATTCGTCCATCCATTTATTGATCAGGGAAGCCTTTCCTAAAGAGCTGACATTTGATAAGAGGGCCAAGGGATGAGGAATAGTTAGCTGGGCCAAGGCAGGATCTAGGATGGAGCGGGAAGAAGCTTCCAGGCGGAGGGGAATCATGTACGAAGGACCCGGGTAGAAGAGAATGAGGCAGAATGGAGGAATTGAGGGAGGCATAGTGTGAGCTGCAGTTTTGAAGAGTAGGCTGGGACCAAATTATGCAGGGTCTGTAGGCCATGTAAGGGCAATGGCCATTGTCCTGAGAATAATGGGAAGTCATGGCAAGGTGGCAGCAGGACGTGGACGTGACCAAATGTGGGTCTGAAAATGTCACTCTGCTGTGTGCAGAGCAGACAGGCATGAGCAGGCTTGGCTTCAAAGATGCGCACCTTGTGTCAGAGAACTGTACTTCGGGCCCAAAGCTCTGAGACTGCCATCCTGGGATTCTTCACCATATTATTTTTGAACTTGCATTTCTTAAGTACCATCTGGTGGAACAATGAAGGGCACATCAAGGCCGTGGAGCCTTGGCTTTGACTGCTTCCCCTGGACTGGTTCACAGTCTCCCTTTCCACTTCTGCCTAGCCACCACTGCCACCCTCTGCCCCCAGCAGAGACCTGAGCGCAGGCGTGGGGAGAGTCAGGGTCAAGGGCATACCTGGTAGCATCTGAGGATTGGCCATGGCAGTGTGGCCCCTGCCCCAGGCTAGCAACACCATGGTAAGTTCAGCAGGTGACTCGGGGGCTCAGCTTCTCACTCACTCTGACCCAGGTCCCTAGTGCCTCCAGGCCTGGACTTTCCAACACCCCTGGGGACCGCCTGTCCACTGTGGGCTGGGGAGGCAGGTCCGTGGGAAATGGCAATGCCTGGCTTGCCTTCCCCAATCCCAGCTGGGGAACCAGAACGCAGGTCAGCGTGGTGGCTGGCGGAGGTGAGCTCCAGCAACTGGTGAATTTCACACAGAACTGAGTCAAGTCAGAGGGTGGGGCGGGGTGGGTTGTCCCACAGATATTCCCATGCCCAAGGGAACATAAAGTTAAATAGCAAATCAAAAACACCATTCCAGGTTGAGAGAGAGAGACTGCAGTAAAGAAACAAGTTTATATATTAGTACCTTTAATGGCAATTTTGTCCCTGCTTTCTAAGAGGTCTCACATTTGTATTTTGCACTGGCCCCACAAATTATGTAGTTGCCCAGGCAGTGAAATTGGTGGAGGTCCGGTAAATATTGATCCTCCTTCTGTGGCAGCTGGTGTTACTGGTTTTGTTGTTTATGTGACTCAGAGGGACAGATGAAGGGGCTTCAGGGGCTGAGTCCTGCCAGTCAGGGGGGCTGTGACAATAAATGTCATAAAAACTGATTTTTCATTTTATTCTCAATCCTTGGAGCTATTGCTTCTCGAATTCTTCAAGCAGATGTGTTCCAATACCATGCAAAACAGGCGGGGGCTCTGCCTGGGGGGGGATGCCCCCCAGGCTCGGCGGAGGCACAGCCACTCAGACCTCAAGGCAAATGATGTTTTGAAGTAGCCGGAACAGTCACTGCAAAGCGGAGATTTTCAGGAGTGGATTCCTCTCCCCAGGGGCCTGGGCCTGGGTGTGGGTGGGGCTGGTGTGAAGTAGGGGCACCCCCGAGGACAGTAGTCGTCTTTGAGGGGCCTCAGTCTTGCTCCTCCACCTCCCTGACATCCCACCAGTCCACCCAAGTCCCACCCACCTGCCCCAACCCGACCTCATTCCTGTCTGAATCATCACAATGTCTTCTGGTCTCACCGGCTCTGAGCCACTCCTCATGGAGAAAGAACTTCCCGGAACCTGTCTGTCAGTCTCTGGGCCCCTCAGGGCAAAAACCAAGTCTGCCTCCCCTTGAGGCCCGGGTCCCAGCAGGACCCCGCAGGAGTTGGTGTGCCTGCTTGTGTGGCCAGCGGTGCTGCGTGCCTGGGCTGAGGAGAAGGTTGTGGTGGGCACGTGGTTGGGTTTCAGCAACCACGGCTGCCCATTCGCAAGGCCAACTATGGGGAAGTATGAGCATGTGCCAAGGAGACACAGGGGAAGGTCTCCTGGGGGGCTGGGCAGAAGGGAGGGTGCAGGGGCTTTGGAGAAAAGGAGATTCGGGGGCAGGTGTCCTTTTCTTTCCCTGCTTGTGGCTGTCTGGAGTTGCAGATGAGAGCTGCTGCAGCTTGGGCCTCCAGCCCAAGGAGGAAGATCGTAAATGCAGGAGAAACTCAGAGAGACTGAGCTGAAGCCTCGTGGACCACAGCTGGAGGCTGCGCTGCCTCTGGCCCCCTTGTGTGGGCGACAGCACACGTCCTCTGTGTCAGACCCTCCGGTTTATGCCCCTTGCAGCCAAAAGCATCCTCAACTGATGCAAATAACACAGCCACGGCACAACAGCATGTGCTGAAGGCTGGCCTCTCATCCCAATAGCGCCATCAGCCTGGTGGCTTCCCTAGACCGTTTTTCCATCTATGGACTTGGGTGAGAGGGTCTCGACGCAGAGCTGGAGCAAGGAACAATGAAACCCTTTTTAAATAGAGGGCTGTTGGTAAAAGACAACTGTGGAAGTTAAGAGGGTGTGCTTTGGCATCAGACAGATCTAGGACCGAAGCCCAGCCCTCCGCTTACTGGCTGTTACTTGGGTGCGTTACTCACACTCTTGAATCACTGGTTTGCTCATCTGTAAAGTGGGGATAATGACAGCGTGAGTGAGGCGGTCCGTGTGAAAAGCAGAATGAGCTACCCAGCGCTGGGTACTCCAAAGCCAAATTGGCTGTCTGGTCGCCCAGCCTGGGGAGCTGCAACAGGTAAGGATGGAGGGGAGGGGAGGAGGAGCTGCAGGCTCTCCAGAGGGACCCCCATCACTTCCTTCCAGCCCATCACCAGCAAGGCCCTGCATCTGGGGCTACCCTGTCTGGACAAGTGCGGTTGGGAAACGAAGGAAAATGTGTGGGAGCCTTGAGGTTGGCTTGGAGGGGGTAGGATTTGCCCAGGTGAGGAAGATCAAGGAAGGCAAGCCAGCAGGGAGGCTGGGAACAGCGCAGGTAGGAGTGGGAAAGGTGCCTCTGGGGGGAGGGAAGCGGCCTGGCTGGAGCGGAAGTCTGTGAGAGGTGATGGGAAGGACACCTGGAGAGGCAGGGCAGGGAGCCCAGCTGCGAAATGTTCTGCCAATAAGAGAGCAGGAGCCTTCTATTGACAGAGGGTCCCTGGTCTGCTCCAGACCGAGAGGCATCATCCACTGGGTGGATGGAGACAGTGAGCTCGGGGAGGCTGGGCCAGTGCTGTCAGAGGAGGTGGTGCCGTGGGGAGGGGAGGGGCAGCCTGCCTCACTCGACGGCTCTCAAAGCTCAAGGGGATTTTTACACCATTCGTTGTCTTCAGCTACAAGTAACAAAAACCCTGTCTGGGGAGCCTTAAGATTAAAGGCGTTTATTAAAGCTCCAGTCCAAGGTTTCTGGAGGTGAGGACCTTCTGGGGGTAGTCCCATCGCTCTGCAGTTCTCCCCGAAGGGTTTCCTCTTGGCTGGCTATTTCAGAGCCTGGGTGTGCCCCCTCTCTCTAAACCCTGGGCATGCATAATGGGCACTTGCGAGCTCAGCTGTTTCATCTGCAGGCGCTCTCATCTGTCTTATCACCCTGTCAGCTGTAAGGCAGACAGCAGTGAGGGTGGTAATTTGTGGACAATCCCTGACTCACCTGGTTCTGCCAGCCTGCCCCGGGCTCAGGACTTCTTGCTGTGTGTTCTGCTGAGCAGGCAGGGCCTGGCGCCTCAGGGCTGGGCTGGGGTCTGGCCCAGGGCTCCTCCTAAGGTGGTACCACACACACAGTGCCCCCAGCAACTGCCTGCCAAACTGGAGATTCCAGAAATGTTGTCGACACCGTCTCCTTTCCAAAGACTGCGGGTGGCAGATGGGGAAACTGAGGCTCCGTGAGTTGGAGGGTCTTTTAAGGTCCCTCAGCCCCTGAAGGGTAGGGTCAAAACTAAACAAAAACTGGGCCTCAGCCTGGGTCTCCAAACACCCCACATTCTGTGCCTTCATAATCCTGTTTCTCCCTCCATCCGTTCCCATTCACTGAGCCTGAAGACTCCATCTTCAGAGGCGGGCTCCCTGCTCCAAAGGGCGTCTAATCTGGAGCCGTGCGGTGGTGGCAGTGGGGGGCGGGGCAGCGCCGGGGCTTCAGGCTGTTCTCCCTCATCTTGCTGTCTCTCACCTCGTCTCTGTGTGTTCACAGCCCCCCAGGGCACAGCTGTGTCTGCCTCCAGAGGGAGGCTCCTCGAGGGCAGGACCTGGTCCCGTGGAGCAGCCAGGTTCTTAGGAATGTCCTAGGCCTGGGTGAGCCCCTCCGGACTGGCTTGCTGGTGAGGAGTGGAGTCTAGTGTCTCTGGGCCCAGCCTGGAGGAGTGCTGGGGTGGGGGGTGACACACCTGGGCTCCTGGGCCCCTCCTGGCCACACTGTCAGTGGGCCTCAAGCTCCCTTAGCGCATGGCCCCTGGAATAAAGTGAGCCCGCGCCTCGGGAGGGGGCAGGCAGAGGCAGGAGCAGGGTGGCAGGTGGCAGGCGGGGCTGCACGGGGAGCGTCGCAGCTCCACTTCCTGTGGGCTAAGGCCCGCGCCTGCCCCCGGGGGAGGTTGCACAAACCTTCCTGCGCAGGCCTTGGGCTGCCTGCCCGCCTGGCCCGCGCTCCAGCCTGCCTCTTCCCCTGGCCACTGCCTCCCCCCCGGGGCTGGCATCCCTGCTCCCTGCCCTGGGTCCCAGACTGTGTCCTTGGTCTCCGCAGGGTCGGCGAGGGGCCGGGCTGGACACCAGGACCCGCCCTCCCATCACTGAGCTCCGCTCCTTCCTCATTTTGCTGCCGATTCTGGCCCCAAACAAAACAGGTTGAGCCTTTTCCTCGCCTCGGCAGCTCCTCCTGGCCGGTGGCTGCCTTCTGAGTGCTGCAGACGGCGCCGGCCGGGAAGGGGGGCCTGGGCCAGCCCTGCCAGGACTGGGACGGTGCTCCTGGCGCCCGGCCCTCCATCGGGCCAGCCTGTGGCAGGACAGCGAGCTTTGCCGCGGCAGACGCCTGAGGATGATGCCCCAGCTGCAGTTCAAAGATGCCTTTTGGGTAAGTGAGGATGGCTGGGGACACTGGACAAGTGGAGCGGGCAGCGTGAGGCTGGAATCTCCGTGGGGCCATGGGATGCGGCTCCAAGAGGGGAGCTTTCTCAGCAAATAGTGGTGGATTCTTGGTCTTAATCGCTGTGGAGGTGGCCCGGGGCCCCCACCCCCTCTGGGTTGGAAGGCAAGCAGACTCCGTGAGTGAGGGGCCTCCTCTCTGCTGCCCCGGCTGCTTTCTCCGCTGAAAGACCTCTCCCCACAGCAGGAGCCCCTTAGGAGAGGCTAACACACGGGTGCGGGCTTCAAGAGCATGTGTGGGGTAGCAAAGGAGGGGATGCAGATTTAGGGACCAGAGAAACTTGGGTTCAGGTCTTGGCTCTGTTACTTACAGGCTGGGTGAGACATTTATTTTTCTGAGCCTCAGTATCTCCATCTATATAATGGGGATAGATATCAACACATGAACTAAAGCATTGGGTCAAGCAAGGGGGTCCAACACGCTAAAGCCCCCCAGCACCTTGCCTCACTCCAAATGGTAATTCTTGTCCCCTCATTCAGCCCCTTGTCCCTTACAGACCTTAGGGGTCCTTCCAGGAGGCACCCAGGCGGGAATTGCTTGCTTACTTTCTTAAATTCAACACGGGCTTGCATCAAGTCATTTCCCCCATGAAATAAGGGTGCCCGGCCAGTGATAGAGGTGAAGTGGCTTGGCCCAGGCAGCCTAGCCTGCAGCCCAGCTTGGAGCCCCAGATCATCTCAGCATTTTTCCAGCTGTCCTTCAACCATCCCTCTGCCCCTCAGCTCTGGCTGTGCCCAGGGCTCTGGGGAAAAGCTGAGACCTCTCTGGTGGGAGCTAGGGAATGTGGATGTCCTGGGGTGCTGCCTCCAACCCCGACGAGGACGATCTAGCCCTCGGCTTAGCCGGCTGAGCCCTGGCCCTCCCCGGGCCCTTTCCTGGGGCTGCGGCCAGGAGGATGAGAGCTGCAGAGCCAGGCCTTCCTTCCCTTCCAGCCAGCTCCACTTGGGGCCTGTGGCCAGCATGTGAGTGTTCTGCTTCCTCTGCACTGACTGCACAGTAGGCAAAGGACTCCCCATGGGGAGGGCGCCTTGTGCCTTTCTGGGCCTTGGTTTCCCCATCTCTACAAGAGAGGGTGGGCCAGCCCAGAGAAGCCAATAGAAGCAGAGCTGCCTCAGCCCATCCAGAGGACCAGGCACCAGGATGCTCACGGCCCAAGCTGGCAGCCGCAGCCCTGGCGGGTGGGGGGTGAGAGTCACCACATCGCTGCCCTGCCTTGGTGTGCAAAGTTGGGGGAAGGGGTAGGTGGAAACCCAGGCCACTCTGTAGCCCTAGGCAGTCCAGGACCCCCTGACTATTTTACCACTGAGACCCCTGTCCAGGCCCAGAGCCCCTGGGCCTGCCTTCCCTGGGGCAGAGCTGGGCAAGGAGCAGCCTCAATGGCAGGGTCTGGCACACGTAGGGGTGGCATATAATGGAGCAGGGTGTGGTGGCAGCAGAAGCAAGTAACCAGCCCCTGTGGAGCTTCCTGGGCGGCATCCTGCCCACACTCTGCGTTCATCGCACCTCTGGGCTTCCTGGCCTCCAACGGCCTGCCCCTCTCTGTGTCTGGCTCCCCGGGTCTGGGGCAGGCATACAGTGTCCCTACGGAAGGCCAGAGCAGGAAGGGGTGAGAAGTAGCCAGTGTGAATCTCTCACACTGAGCCTGGGCGGACACCCTGAAAGGTCATCGTGGGCATCGCCTGGGCCAGGACTCTGGATTCTAACACCTCCTGATGCTCAGCCCATCCCAGTGCACAAGAACAACTAACATTTGCTGAGCACGAAAGATGTGCCAGGCGCTGTTCTTAAGATGTCTGCATAGTCACTCATTCAATCCTCAAAACAGATGCTACTGTTATCTCTTCCATTCAGATGAGGAAACTGAGGCACAGAGACACTAAGAGACGCACAAGGTCACACAGCTGGAATTAAACCCCTGGCAGGCAGGCTCCAGAGCCTGTGTGGTTGCAGGATCCCTCTCTCTACCTGACATATCACTGGATCTTCTGGCTTCAGGGTAAAGAAGAAATCCTCTTAGCTCCCAGAGGGGTAAGAAGATCAGACAAGGTGGCTAGAACAGCGTTTTGAAGCTCTATTTGTAGACAAATCTGTAAAACAGAAAAGGCACACTACTCTGACCGCAGGGCTTATGTTAGGAACAGCCCAGCCACCTCAGCCCTTGTCCATGCCTGCGCCCACCCCAGCCCAAGGCACTGTCATTAAACCCTGCAGCCTGGCAGTACACTGTTTAGAAATGACTGGTTTTAGGCTGGGCGTGGTGGCTCACGCCTGTAATCCCAGCCCTCTGGGAGGCTGAGGCAGGCGGATCACTTGAGGTCAGGAATTCGAGACCAGCCTGGCCAACATAGTGAAACCCGGTATCTACTAAAAATGCAAAAATTAGTCAGGCGTGGTGGCAGGTGCCTGTAATCCCAGCTACTCGGGAGGCTGAGGCAGGAGAATCGTTTGAACCCAGGAGGCGGAGGTTGCAGTGAACCAAGATCGCACCACTGCATTCTAGTCTGGGTGACAGAGCTGACAGAGTGGAGGGACCCCACTTTGGCTAAACTAGAAAGATTATGTTTGATACCACAGCCCTTCAGTTATCCGGCAACCTCACCCCTCCAGAACACAGGGCAGGGGAGAGGAGCCAGCCCTGCTGTTTCTGACTATAGCTCACAGTAGGGGAGGAAGTAAAAGTGGTTTCTCAGGAGCCAAAGATGATTTCCCTAAGAGCTTTCCTGAAAGCTCATACACTGCACTCCTAGGAGATGTCCCCTAGCGTTGACTCAGGGCCTATGAACTCTAATTTCACCCGCAGTTTTAACTGCTTGGTCATGGGGTCTTTTAGCCAGGAGATGCAGCGATTAGTGGCAGCCTGCACAGTACCTGATCTACAGCTGCTGCTGGACCTGAACTATGAGAGGACCTTTCACAGACAGCTAGTAGCCTGATTGCAAGGAAGGAGACAGAAACAGTCTGAAAAGCAGCTGCCGTGGCACAGGAGTTGTGGGGATACTCCGCGTGGGAGCAGACACGGTCCTGCCCCTCCGTCGGCCTGTTTTTGCAATTTTGACAGTGTGGCCACACAGTGTTTATTTATGGCCTGATTTTAGCTGCAGCCGAGCGTTCAGATGCACGCTGCTATAGGAGTGAGGCAGAGCAGACCAGCCACAGGGGGAGGGAAGGGATAATGTGATTCTGTGATCCACGCAGATGATAAAGAGTGTCACCCCTTGGCAGGAAGTTTGTGAATGAGCCTCAGAGCGGGACCTGTCAGTGAGGCAAGGTTGAGTCTGCGAATACCAGCTGTCTGAGTGGAGAGGGCATTAGGCCTCATGTTGTCTGCCCAGCGCTGAGACTAACGTGCTGGGAAGCCTAGAAAAGGAAGGGTCCTCCCCCTTCCCCCAATTTGTCACTGGTTCCACTGCCAGCAGGTGGCCGAACTATTGCAGGAAACGTCTGTCCGCATCCTCTGCACAGGGCTGACGAGTGGGTACCGGCTGAGGAAGTGTTCATAGAGTAAATGAATGTACAGTGACTGTCTCCATGGTCCATCTCCCTTCCTGAACCCTGTTTTTACTTTATTTCACTTTTCACTTTTTTTTTTTTTTTTTGAGACAGAGTCTCACTGTATCGCCCAGGCTGAGTGCAACGGCTCAACCTCAGCTCACTGCAACCTCTGCCTCCTGGGTTCAGGCGATTCTCCGGTCTCAACCTCCCAAGTAGCTGGGATTACAGTTGCGCGCCACCACACCTGGCTAATTTTTGTATTTTTAGTGGAGACGAGGTTTCGCCATGTTGGCCAGGCTGGTCTCGAACTCCTGACCTCAGGTGATCCACCCACCTCGGCCTCCCAGAGTGCTGGGATTACAGGTGTGAGCCACTGCGCCCAGCACTTCACTTCACTTTTGTCATATTCTGCAAATATTTGGTGAGCAAGGTTCTCTCATAGGTGATCTACCCTGGACCCCTGAGCGTCTTCACCCCCCACATCTAATCAGACGAATGAGACTGTCTTGCCCTGAAGGAATGCACAGTCCGGTGCCGGGGCTGGAGGAATAACGGGGCCAGGCAAGGAGTGCTCCGAGGGGAGCAGCGTCTCAACTGTGCCGTCCACTCCCAGGCCCCCCATCCCCTGAAACCTGTATGTCTATCCAATGGCCTTTGCAAAGATGTCATTAGATGTTGTTTTAAGAGGAAAAATCTAGTTCTGGACCAGATTCTATTGAGATCCACATGCTAGCCCTTTCAGGGTAGTTAAAAGGAAAAGGAAGGACCTGGGGAAGCTGGGCCACATGCACTACAATGACCGTCACCCATCTGTTGGGTGGGAGACACCAAGGGTGGGGACAATAGGCCTGAACTCCCCCCCACCCCTGTGACGTGTGGGTGTAGCTCTCTTTTGAGGCTGGGCCCTGACTCCATCTGGAAACCCCTGTGCCACACTGGGAGGAGCTGAGCCTCCCCAAGCCCATTTAACAGGTGACAGCATGGCTGCTGGGTGCGGCAGTGACTCACCAGCTTCACACAGTGGGACCTGCAGGGCTGGCCCGCCCCTTCCTTATGTGGCATTCAGCCGCTGGTGCCTTTTCCCTTCCCAGTTCTGAGACGCTGAGGCATCCATTTACAAGGCTGCAGAGAAAGGGACTGAGGGGCCCTACTTTGACCTGTCATGAAGCTGCCTGTCCCTACCCCCAGGCCTGTCTACCATGGCCCAGGGGCATCCGGAGAGCCTGACATTTGCTGGGTACCTGTTCTGTCCTGGGCATTTAAAGCTATACAGATACTTTCTAAAGAAACAAAATCAACCAATATAAGATTCTAAAGGGAAAGTGGGGAAATGGAGAAAAATAGGAAATGAAAAAGCACCTTTAGTCTCATCACACAACTGCTAGTATTTCGCTGTGTTTTTAAGAGTGCCTTACATAGGTGCAAGCATATTATGT